AGTACTCTAACTATCACAGTAAATAATAGTCACCTTTGGACCCAAACTGAGTTCACCAAACAAACATCTCAACCAAATAGCTTCTGTAACTGCAGTCACTGCCATATACTTAGCTTCAGTAGTAGATAAAGCAACTGTAGACTGTAAAGTAGCTTTCCAACTAACATCACAACCACCAATAGAAAATACATAACCTATGAGTGATCTTCTCCTGTCAAGATCACATGCATAATTTGAATCAACATAACCATCAAACTGTCACAACTCCTCCTAAACTCCAAACAAGTATCTGATGTACCTTTCAAGTATCTGAGAATCCACTTCATTGCCTGCCAATGTGTCTTGTTAGGGCATGACATATATCTGCTCACCATACTAACTACACGTGAAATGTCCGGTCGTGTGCAAACCATGGCATACATAATACTCCCAACTGCACTGGAGTAGGGGACATGTGACATATTTTTCTTCTTCATTTGTCTGTGGTGACAAATTTGCTGAAAGTCTGAAGTGGACTGCAATAGGAGTACTTACTGGTTTAGCATCTTTCATGCTAAAGCACTCTAAGACCTTTTCAACATACTTCTGTTGTGTCAAATACAATTTCACTACTTTTCGGTCCCTCTAAATTTCCATGCCAAGAATTTTCTTTGCTGCACCCATATTTTTTATTTCAAACTCACCACTCAACTGTGTTTTTAATTTGTTGATCTCAGATATTTCTCTTGTTGCAATGAGCATATCATCAACATAAAGTAGCAAGTAAACAAAAGAATCATCTGCAAGTTTCCTAAAATAAGCACAACTATCATACTTGCATCTAGAATAACCAAGAGCCACCATAAAAGAGTCAAATCTTCTATACCATTGTCTAGGAGACTGTTTTAAGCCATATAGAGATTTCTTTAACAAGCAAACATGGTTTTACATCCCTTCAACAACAAAACCCTCGGATTGATGCATATAAATCTGTTCATCAAGTTTTCCATGCAAGAAAACAGTTTTAACATCTAACTATTCTAATTCCAAATTATGCATGGCAACCAAAGCAAGAAAAACACAAATGGAGCTATGTCTAACAACTGGTGAGAAAACATCATTAAAATCAACACCTTGTACCTGACTGTAGCCTTTTACAACCAATTGTGCCTTATATCTAGCATCCTCTACACCTAGAGTACCTTTTTTTTTTTGAAAACCCATTTGCATCCAACAATCTTCTTTCCTTTAGGTGGTCTTACCAACTCCCAAGTCTGGTTCTTATGCAAGGATTCAATCTCGTCATGCATAGCTGTCAACCACTTAGTAGAATTAACAGATGAAATAGCTTCTACATAAGTATTGGATTTTATAACATCAACATTCTCTACAACTGACAATGCATAGGCAACCAGATTAGCATAACCATATCTCTAGGATGGTCTAATCTCTCTCCTTGTTTAACTTGTAGCAATAGAATACTGCTCCTCCTCCTCTTCTTCTTGTACATGTTCTTCTATCTCAGTAGAAATGGGCACCTGGACTGATGTAAGTTGAGGTGAGGAAACACTTTTAACTTCTAACTCCACCTTTTTTCTTGAACCTTGTGTTTTATTTGCATCACAAGAATTTGAAGACTTCTTTCTTGGGTTAAGCATAGCTGATTCATCAAAAGTAACATCTCTGCTAACTATGAATTTTGGTGATTTAGGATCAGGAAACCACAATCTGTATCCCTTCACTCCGGAAGCATAACTAAGAAATATGCACTTCTTGGTCCTAGGATTAAGCTTGCCTTCATTAACATGTGCATATGCCGGACAACCAAATATTTTCAAATTTGAATAATTAGGAGGGTTTCCAGACCATACCTCTTATGGAGTCTTACATTCAATGGCTATAGATGGAGATCGAATTACTAGGTGACAAGCCATATTAACTGCTTCCGCCCAAAATTCCTTTGAGAAACCAACATTTGACAACATGCACCTTGCTCTCTCTAGTAGAGTTCTATTCATACGTTCTATAACTCCATTCTGCTGCGGTGTTTTGACAACAATATGATGCCTTACAGTGCCTTCATTTTTGCAAAACTCATTAAATTCATTTTAACAAAACTCTAAACCATTATCTGTTCTCAACCGCTTGACCGGTTTTCCTGTTTGCTTTTCAAGCAAAGTTTTCCACTGTTTAAAAGTCACAAATACATCATTCTTATGCTTTAGAAAATAAACTCATACCTTCCTGGAGTAATCATCAATGATGGTAAGAAGATATCAAGCACCACCCTTTGATGGAACTTGTGAAGGTCCCCATAGATCTAAGTGAACATAATCCAAAGTGCCCTTTATCCTGTGAACGACTGTACTGAAACTGGTTATTTTCTGTTTCACAAAAACACAATGTTCACAAAAGTTAAAATTTCCTGTACTTTGGCTACAAAAAAGACCTCTCCTACTTTACATAGTAAGTCACCTTTCACTCATATGTCCTAGCCTCATGTGCCATAACTTGATGGTGTCAAACTCAGATAGAGATGATGTAGAAATTGCAACTAAACCTGTGATAGTAGTACCCTGTAGCACATACAGACTTCCTATCCTCATGCCTTTCATCACAACAAGAGCACTCTTATTGATTTTCAGAACTCCACCTTCAACTGAATATTTACATCCTTCAACATCTAGAGTGCCAAGAGAAATGAGATTTTTCTTTAAGTCTAGTACATGCCGTACATTTGTTAATGTTCTCACAACACCATCATGCATTCTGATTTAAATTGTTCATTTTCACATAGTTTGACATGAGGCATTATTACCCATCAATACAACTCCACCATTAATAGATTTGTAAGTGGAGAACCAGTCCCTGTTGGGACACATATGGTAGGAACAACCCGAATCTAGAATCCATTCATCCTTGGATCTGGTTCTATCATCTATCACTAAGAGAACATCCATATTCTCATCCTCAACCACACTAGCCTCTGTAGAGTTATTCTTTTTCTTTTCTTCATTCTGGTTTTTATTTTTCAACTTATAATATTCTGACTTAATGTGCCCTTTCTTGTGACAATAGTTACAGGTCAAATTCTTATGTATAGATTTTTATCTAGGCTTTGGTTTACTATTTGAGCCCTTATCCTTACACCTCCCTCTTGCAAACAATCCAGAGTCTTGACTATCACCCATATTCATAGTTAAATCTTTATCAATCACCTCTTTAGAGAGTAATACCTTTTTAACATCCTCTGTACTAATGGTGTATCTTCCATAGACGAGAGACTCTTTAAAAAACTTATACGAGGGTGGTAAGGAACAAAGTAACAAAAGGGCTTTGTCTTCATCTTCAACCTTAACATCAATATTTTGCAGGTCCAAGATAAAAGAGTTAAACTCATCAATATGAGATTTTATGGGTGTACCTTCAGCCATCCGAAATAGGAACAGTTGTTGCTTCAGGTAGAGCTTACTGGCAAGAGATTTTGACAAGTATAGAGACTCCAACTGTCGCCACAAACCTGTAGCAGTCTTCTCATGAATGACTTCTCGCAAAACTTTGTTTGATAGCAGCAACTGAATCGTGATTAGGGCTTTAAAATCTAACTCCTCCCATTCTTCATCACTCATAGTTGCAGGTTTCTTCTCCTTCCCATACAGAGCTTTGTGTAGTCCATCTTGACCCAAAATGGCACACATCTTGACTTGCAAAATACTGAAACTGATGCTACCATCGAACTTCTCAATATCAAACTTCATTGATGACATTATAAGTGCCAAACAAGAAATAGGTCTTTGATACAAGTTTGTTGTAGGAAAACCCAAGAAAACAGATTCGTAATGGCACTCAAATGAAAATAAAACATAGATAAAGAGAAAGCAAGCAAAGAGAACACATAGATTTACGTGGTTTAGCTTATAGCCTACGTCCATGGGCGAAGGAGGAACAAAAATCCACTATGAAGTAGGCAATGGAGAAGAAATACAGAGTTGTGCTCTCACAGAAAACCCTAAGCCCCAAATACACCCAATGTGTCACTCACTCCCACAAGACACAGGCATCTGTATACAAGAGAGAAAACCCCCGAAATACATGACTCTTCATATTCGGTTCAGACCTATAAGATGAATATGGATTGGGTCCATACTGCCGCGGGGTCGGTGCCCCCACACCCCCAATGGTGATTTGTGGTGGGCTATGGGCTTGGGCCACGCATCCACCACAAACCACTATGAAATTTTGCCTTTGGGTTTTTCTCAAATTAATTCGGAGTGGATTCATGAAGTGGGTTGCCACAAAGAATTCAAGACACAAACATAACACATTGGGTAAAGTTACTAGAGACACACTGTTAAGAACCCCAAATGCCCAGAATAGAATAAAACTTTAAGAAATAACCCAAAACGCCAGTTACCCAGGTAAGATAAATTCACTTATCCATGTTCTTTTGATTTTCAGATAAATTCAATAATATTTTTTTTATCTATAAAAAGTTAATATTACAATGCATAAATTTGGCATATTAAATTTTATAAACTGTTACTTAGGTGAAAAAATTAATTATCCACTTAAAAGAAAGATATCACTTAAACTAACTTTATTGTAGGCCTAACACTCAAGTTGGCAAATAAAAATTACTTTTCTGTTGATCAACTTCTCCCCTCCTATTTCTTGAAATACATGAGGGAATCAAGGCACTATTATATTTACATTTCATTGTAGGGGTGTTCATTATATTATTCAAACTATAAAACCGAACTGAACCAAACAGAATTTGTAGTTTGGTTCGATCTAAATTTAAAATGGTTTAGTTCGGTTTTACGAATTTAAAAAATGCAGTTTACGGTTTACAGTTTGGTTTATTAAATTTTATAAACCAAACCAAACTGTAAATCATATTAATATAAATATAATATACATGTATATATATATATATTGAATAATTAAATTTTAATTTTTACTTTTTAATTTCTCTCTCTTCTTCGATATTTGATGCACGATAGCCGATACCTGGCCTTTTTGGCTTTTCCTTTTCCTATGCTTTTGCATTGCAGTTTTACTTTTGTTTTGGTTTTCTTCTCAGAGAACACAGAGCACCAGTGATCGAATGACTGAAGCCACACGAAGGTCCGCCTTTGCGATTACCGCTGCGGTAGTTTTACTTTTGCGATTGCAAACACTGGCAATCGAATAGTTGAGCACAATTTTACTTTTGTTTTGTTTTACTTCTGTAGTTTCACTTTGCCACTACCGTTGCTTTCGCCATTGCCGCTGGTTGCTGTTGTCAATCAGACCTTCGTCGTCTGACTTTGCAATTGTGGTAAGCTCTCTCTCTCTCTCTCTCTCTCTCTCTCTCTCTCTCTCTTATTCTCATACAATGAAACCCTAACTATTCTCGCCGACTCACCGCTGGTCACTCAACCACTGTTGTTGCTCCCATCTCCCTCTCATGAGTGTCATCTCTCTTCTAACTCTAACAAAACACCCTAACCAAAATCCTCTTCCTCTGTTCTGTTCAACCGAACTCTATCCGCCCTAGGGTTTATTTTTTTTTTAATTATATGCTTTTTAGTTTATATATGCATGTTTTTAGAATTAGAAATTTAGAACGCAGATGTTCTATATGAGAATGTTTTTATTAATGTTCATATTTATTTAATTGATTGTTTTAAATGAGAATGCATATGTTTTGTATGAGAATTTTGGACAAAAAATTTAAGATTATTTTGTTTTTGTTATGCATTGTATATATTTAAATTTTCAACAATAAACTAATTTATTTTTATTGCAATTTTATTAACAGATTTGTATATAAAATATATTCTATTCTTCTTAGTTCAAAATTGTTTAGGTCATAATTGTTAATATAATTCATTATTAATAGATTTATGATTTATTTAGTTTTATTAATTAAATATATATATGGTTTATTAATTAATGAATTCTATAATGGTTTTCATATCTTATTTGTTTTACAATTAATAATGGTTTAGATGTCATGGATTATTCAAGATTGGCTTCAGGCATCTCCACAACCGCTTAATGTTGAAGAAAAGTTGGATGATGTTGGAAAAAATAGTGAGTGGTAGTATTTTGCTTTCTTCATTATTTCATGTTCATGATTTTAATACAATGATTTTATACGTGCCATTGTATCTTGATTTATTTTAATTTTCTTGGTATGGAGAAATTAGCACTATCACATTGTCCCCTATTGTGATTGAGGTAAGTATTCTTCATGCTTTTAGATATGTTGATGGGTGATTCATTTTGAAGCAATGTTTTAAAAAAACAACCTGGAACTGGAACCGTTTTGGCCACTAGTTTTTGGGTCGATGGTTTGACTGTCCGGTCCAAATGGACAACCCATTTTGACAAAATAAATTAATAATTAAAATTTAAAAACGACCAAAAACCATTGAACGGGTCAATTGGGTCGATGGTTTGACTGCCTGGGTCAATGGGTTATTGATCAATTCAACGGTTTTTGGCCAGGGATCGGGTTTAGGGTAAAATGGAACCGGTTGCTTGAACAGTTCTTGGGTCGAATGGTTAGATCGTCCGGGTCAATGGCGGTTCGAAAACCATGTTTTGAAGTGACCAAAACACTATCTTTTGGATATGTATTCTTTATGCTTGAGAGTTGCGAGTTCAAGAAAACACTTTCATGTTATATAACTCTGAATTTGTTAAACTCTATCATTTACGGTGTTATTTAGTTATTCTCCTATTGATATTGCCATATTGATATCTGATGAGGGGCATTTTAGTTAACCTAATTGATGGTGGACACGTGGACGCTATTAACAACATAGCGTCCCACTTAGCAAGACAGCTCGGCAGCTCAAGACATGGCAGTCAGCATTAGGTACATGGTCGAGCTAGAGCAACCTTAGCCCACAACATCTAGCATAGCAGAGCAGCTCGCCGAATTGACATGTGGCAGTCAGTATCTGGGGATGGCAATTTCCCCCATAAAACTGGGGCCCCGCCCCGCCCCGCCCCGAACGGGGTGGGGGCAGGTTTTGTATATAATTCCCCGAACTCACCTCGAACCCGAAGGTAAATTAGTAAAATATATATAGGTTTAATATTGATATTTAAAATATCTCTAAGTTTTCCCTAAAATTTTAAAATCATAGGATCCCATAATTTTATTTTTGAATTATCCCTAAAATATTATATTTAAATTCTAAAATACCCCCAAATTCCTAGATCCTATGTATAAATTGTCCATAAAATAGATATTTTTTAAGTAATTGCCTTGGAGCGGGGAAGATTCGGGGATTCCCCGTTCCCGATGGGGAATGGATTCCCCACCCTGCCTCCGGGGACGGGGCGGGTATGAGGCAAGGTATTGGGACTTCAGGGCGGGGACGGGGAGGCGGTGCCCCTTCCCAAACCCGCCCCGTTACCATTCCTATCAGTATCTGGTACGCGGCCGAGCCAGGGCGAGCTCAATCCTCCGACAGTTCCAGCTCACCCGAAATATCCCGAAGGCAACGCCTGCATAAGCGTTGTAGCCACAACACAGGGAGTGGTCCACCAAGTTGACTGCCTCAAGACCAGCAGGCAACTTGTAACCGCTGCACAGATCTAACAATCAACTGACTAGTACACCCCAGAATTTAGGAAACAACTCCGTACAAGGCTCAAAGACGTTAATCAACAACACCTGAACCTAGGACCACTTCAAAAGGTATGCACACATTAGCTCTCACTCTCTCCCAATTACTTTGATAGAACCACTCACTAACTTAAGCATCAAAGTGTCCTCCTAGGTAAAATTTACCCAAGCACTCTAACCTCTCTTTCATTTCTACAGATTTCAACTTGGGCCCTCAGCTCGGCACAATAACACGACTCATCACAGATTGAACCTGGCTCGAGCCACCTCATCAGACATGAGGGAGTGAACAGATTTTGTGCTTCATCTATTGGTGGGCATATTTTGTGCCTCATCAATTGGCGTCATCTATGGGAAACACAACAAAAGCCTGTGTTTTCTTTCATTTATCTCTTATTCCTCTCATTTTACTCAAAGAAACCTTTCAATGGCATCTTCAAGAAATCCTTCCACTAATAACATCAATGGCCAGATCCCAACCATCAGCATTGGCCAAATCGATGTTCCTCTACCACAAACGGAGAATGTGAATAGCCCCCCCCCCATCTATGGAACTAGCATCACCTCCCGCGATAGCGGATGCGCGACAGTTTAATGACCTAGTACGGTGTGTCAATACCATTACTGAACAAATGCGGCCGTGGGAGAATAGGTTTGTGTTTATTGTTGGATAATAGCAGCGGCCGTCCCAACAGTAGCCACATCAGCAACAACCACACCAACAACAGTCTCAGCAGCAGCTTCATCAGTAGTCTCAACAACTTCAACAACAATCTTAGCAGTGGTGTCAACCATAGCATCCGGTGATGTTCGGACAACAAGCACCAAAGGACAGTTAGCCTCATAACAACCAACAACCCCCACAATCCAACAATTCGAATCAAGAAGGTTTACCCCAACCACGAGTGCGTAGCCAAATCCATGCACCGAACAGAGAAGATACTACAACCCTAAATGAGCAAGGACTAGAAGAGAGCCAGGCGGAGGCCCCTGCTGAATCTAATGCAGCCAGCTCCACCGAAGGCACCAGAAAAAAGAAAAGAGCACACCATGTAGGAAGGAAGATACAACTCACCCGAGTAGGGGGCGAGGCTCGTATGGGAGAAGGTAGCATGGCAACAGGAAGAATAATTACCTTATCAGAACAACCCGGCTTGACTAGGAAACCCCTATCGTGTTGGAAATCCTTAGAGCTCCATGCCCTAAAAACTTCTGGGCACCCACCTTGGAATCCTACCGAGGGAAATCAAACCCGGTAAAACACGCTAACAGGTTTCAAGCTCTAATGCTCCTTCATGGAGCAAATGATGCTAGTATGTGTATAGCATTCTCCACTACCTTAAAAGAAAAAGCCTGGCTATGGTATTCAGGACTGGCCCTAGGATCCATAAAGAATTGGGACCAGTTCGCCTGACTCTTCATTAACCAATTTATCACTAGCACGCCACATTCAAAATCAGCTACATGCCTATTTAACATAGTTCAGAAGCCCAATGAACCACTTAGAGAATACATCCGACGCTTCAACATGGAACGGTTGTAGATTCCTAATTTAGATCCCTCTGTACAACTGATAGTAGCCAAAAAGGGCATCAAGCATCACAAGCTAAAATGGGAACTAGAACTCCACCCTCCAGCTACCATGGAAAGGTTCCTCACGGTTGCCCATGAATTCATTAAAGCAAAAGAAGTAGTAGGAGCAGAGATTGAAACGTTAGGAAAAAGGAAGCAGACATATGAAGAAACAAGCACAAGTCGAACCAGGCAAAGGAAAAGGTCACATCGTAAAAGTAGATCCCCAAGGAGAAGGCGTAACAGCTCGCCACGCCGAAAAAGAAGATCGCCAAACAGAAGAGCAGGGCAACGACTGGAAACACCACCCGCATACAACAGGGTATTTATGCCGTTGAACACTCGCAGAAAGGAGATTCTCATGCATATTCAGTCTAATGATTATGTGAAATGGCCTCCCAAGATGGGGAGGACCCCAGCACCAGAAACCCAAACAAGTATTGCCATTTCCACAAAGACTTCGGACATGATACTGAGAAGTGTTAGAACTTGAAGAATGAAATCGAGGACCTCATTAAGTGAGCTTACTTGAAATGTTTTATCAAGGATGAGCAAACTCATGAAGCGGAAGCTAACAGGGAAGCACCGCAGAGCAGCAAATAGCAGGAACCACCTGCCAAAAACCAACAAGCACTAGAGAGATAGGTTAGAGGAACTATTAACATGATCACATGGGGCTCGATTATAGCAGGATGAACCTCATCTGTTGGGAGGAATGCAGTACATGAACTGGAACAGGAAGATAACCAGCTACACAAGCTCCCCCGAATAGAAGTCATTTATTTCACTAAAGATGACACGCGAAGATTCCAATACCCTCATAATGACGCTTTGGTGGTAAAATTACTCATCAATGATTTCAAGGTAAAAAGGATTTTGGTAGATTCAGGTAGTTCGGTAGACATCTTGTTCGTTGAAGCCTTCAAAAGAATGGAGCTGAGTAAGGCTGACCTACAGCTCGCTGATAGGATTCAGCAAGGAAGTAGTTCGCCCGATTGGCAGGATTAGGCTACTGATTGAAGCAGGCTCCCCCTCCCTACACAGCCCACCTGGAACATGATTTTCTAGTAGTAGCAACTTTGTCGCCTTATAATGCGATCTTAGGACGATCAATCCCTACACGCATTGCAAGTTGTGGTATCCACCTACCACCTAGCACTGAAATTTCCAACGGATACTGGGGTGGGAGTGCTACGTGGTGATCAGATAGAGTCTCGGAAATGCTACGTGGCCTCACTGAAATCCAAAGGTAAAATGATAGTCGACATCGACCTGGATCCTCCACCAGAAAACACTAAAGAAAGAGCTTGCTCGACCAAGGATATAGTAGCAGTATAGGTCTCCAAAACCGACCCTAAGAAAGTCCTATGAATAGGAGCCCACCTAAAAGATCCTTTGCGATTTGAATTGGTAAGCTTTTTATTAAAAAATCTAGATGCCTTCACTTGGTCGGCTACTGAAATGCCTAGTATAGACCCTAATCTAATAACTCATAAACTTAATGTGGACCCTACAGTTAGACCAGTCCGATAAAGGAAGAGAAACCTTGCCCTAGAAAGGTGGAACGTAGTGAATGAAGAAGTGGGGAAGCTACTAGCTGCAAACTTCATAGAGGAAGTCCAGTACCCGAGCTGGGTGGCAAACCCAGTCTTAGTGAAAAAAAAAACAAACGGAAAATGGCGGATGCGTATAGATTTTACTTACCTAAATCGCGCCTGCCCAAAAGACAGCTTCCCCCTACCTACCATAGATCACTTGGTAGACGTAATCTTAGGATTCAAACTGCTCAGCTTTATGGACGCCTCTTCAGGCTACAACCAGATCCTGATGAACCCTAAAGATCGAGAGAAGACTGCATTTACCACCGAGACAAGCCTGTACTATTACAAGGTCAGGCCATTCGGTGGTAGTGTGGACGTGTGGATTTTACTGCATTTTCATATCTAATTGATGGTGGACATGTGGACGTTGTCAACAACACATTATCCCACTTTGCAAGA